TATTTATCTTTGTATTCTAGTCCCAACACAGGATTGATCACATAATTGTTATTATTATGGTTGTTGAATGAATGAATCCACAATGTGGTTGGAAAGGCAGTGCAAACACAATTCATAGGCGTGTCCATGGAACATCTAAAAATGGTACAGGATGACGGTGCACATTTGTCTTATCTGAAAGCCAATTTTTAAACAGAGCCCAAATAACTGCTGGAAATTATAATGAGAAATTATGTAATTTATACTGAGACATGAATCCCCCAGCATAGAGCAATCTACAAAGGAGGTGTATAATAAAAACCTGTTGAATGAGTGTCTAAATTAATGAATGGACACATTAAACATCCACAGAAATGTAACTACTAAGAAATTTCAGCCACCTCATAGATTAAAAAAAAGAAGAAAGGAAGAGAGTAAGGCAGGAAAATGGAGGAAAAGGATGTGGAGGGGAGGAGGGGGGAGATGGAGACAGAGAGGGGTCAAGGATGAAGTGGGCTTGGCAGTGAGAGCTGAAACTTTTGAAACAGAATTTTCTAATGCTTATTTACATGTATCCAAAACAAAATGTAAACTCATTAATAGCTTTTGAAACAAGAGATGCAGGTAGTTATAACACTTTATAATAATAGAAAAGGGAAGAAGGGTGTCAAAGATGACTCCAGGTTTCTGTCTTATTAAGCTAGATAAATGGTTGTGCCATTCATGGAAATAGAAGCCCTTGGACAAGAGTCAGTCTACACAGAAAGATCATGTGTTTGATATTAGGTGAAGTCTGAAGTACCTCTGAGCCAGGCAAATGCAAGTGTTAACCACAGGAGAAGAGGGGAGGGTATAGCTTAGTGGTAGAGTGCTTGCTCAGCATGCACGAGGTACTGGGTTCAGTCCTCAGTACCTCCATTAAATAAACAAACAAACAAACAAATAAATAAATAAACCTGATTACCTTCCCTTCCAAAAAATAAAAAATAAAATAAAACGTATATGGAAATTCAAATGATCTAAAATAGTCAAAACAATTTAAAAAAAAAGAGTTAACCGTCTGAGAGATGGCGAATATACAATGTGGATCTGAGGGTCGTTGGCAATTAGATGGTAATTAAAGCCATAGGTGGGGATGAACTGGAGTGAAGAAAGGGCACACGTTGAGAAGTCTTTCTCTATTCATTCCCTGTATGCCATCTCATATAGACAAGGCTGTAAGTCCATTATGCCAGTTAAAAAGTTTCTGATGAATCAATGAGATTTTACAGACATCTTTTTTCCTTTTTCCTTTTACTTCTTGTCATTTTCTTGATATTGTACAAGTAACTGCCCTCCTTCGCAGCTCTTCATACACTCCAAAACGTAAGGTTTTTTTTTAATGCTAAATTCATTTTTTTTCTGCCGTCGTGAGATGTGTTTCTTAGGCAAATTCATGTTTTATATACAGTTGTGCAAGCTATTAGAGAGGAGTTATGGCATCACAACCAACTTGTTCTTAAAAATGTTACTGTTTAAGGACATTAAAATTCATTACTCCTAAACTAGTAATCTCCTATGTTGTAAAACAAACTAAATTGGAGAAACACTTAAAGCCTCTGGAAAAAATATTACTTAAGATAACAAAATAACTTTTTTTTTCAAATTTTGCATTCAAAATCAAAGGGAAAAGAAATCTTTGTTTATCCAGAGCCAGAGCTCGCTCATTTACTATGTTATACTCGGAGCTAGCCTTTCCAGCATGTTCTATTTTGTCCTCACAGTCCCTCTTTCAAATAGTCCCCTTGGAAAGATAATTCTTCTGCAACAGAAAAACAACAAAGAGGAGCAAAATGGTTTGCAAACAGTTTCAGGAGTTGATGTCGTCTACAACCATCTCTGAAGACACCCAAAAGGGTTTTTTTTTTCCTGCCCTGACATGATTTGTTTCTGAAAACTTCCTCTTTCAGAGTTTGAGATTTGAAGTCAGTTCAGATAAGTTGCAATGTGTGAGAGCTAGACTACCCACACTTCAGAGAAACAGAGAATGGAGAAATATCTAAGGACGTGGAAATGTGACAATATTTCACAATTTTCATTGTAACCCATCAGTGTGAGTCTTCTTCAATTCTCAAATTCTCTCATGCTTCCTCATAAGATAGTCGTTCCTTCTACAAGGAAACTTGTTGCTTGCATCTGTTCACAATTTACTAAATGTAAGCAAAATGGAGAAAATCATTCTATTTACCCTCTGTATCTTCAATATATTGTTAAATTTCTGATGACTTTATTTTGTTCCGTTTAGTCCAACCTTCTTACTTTTATTTTTTGGTTCTCCCCAGCAGGAGGTTGATCTGAATTCCTTAGTTTTCAATTTCTGGAAATTGAAGTGTATAGTCCCTTACTGGGACTACAGCATTGCTGGATATTTCTACCAAAATGGATACAACTGATTTTCATTTGAAAACTGTCTGTTTACTTAACTTTCATGGCACTATTTATTCTCTCCAGGTTTTCCATAGGTCTCTGTGATATTTTCCTCTTGTTCTCTCCCCTTGTGAACACTGATTTTCTCCCAGCCTCTTGCCTAAATATTGTTATTGCTTTGGGTTCCTACTTTGGTTTTTATCTTTGGCTTGTGTATGTCCCCTTTGGATGGTCTCATCTGTCCTCATAGTTTTAATTATCATCTACATGCAGATAACTTTCAAATGCTTCTTGAGCTCTGATTTGTCTAAGCTTTAGACCATAAGGGCACTTGGAACTTTCACGTCCACTTTCACATCAGTATGCCTAAAACTGCTCTTTCATCCACATTCCTCACTACCACATGTCTAATCCACTAAGTCAGAATCCTGGGAGCCGCTCAGAGCCCTTCCTCTCACTCCTGCACAGCCCGCCATATGTAGTAGGTCCTGCCGACTGTACCGTGGAAGCACAAATGGTTACTTCATCCAAGCTCCACACACATATTTACTGTTTGGTTTAGGGCTTATCATTTATCCCACTTTCCTTATTCTAGCAGCCCCTTACAGGAATCCTTGCTGGAAATATCCAGTTTTAACATCACAATAGCCCATGAAGTACCATACCTACTTAGCCATAAACAATTATTTCATCATTAAAATAACGCAAAGGTGAGGGGAGGGCACAGCTCAGGAGGAGGACGTGTGCTTAGCATGCACGAGGTCCTGGGTTGAATTCCCTGGTACCTCCATTAAAATAATTAAGTAAATAAATAAACCTAATTACCTCCCCCCAAAACAAAACAAAACAAACAAATAAAACAAAACAAAAAATACATGAATAAAATAAAATATTAAAAAAATGCAAAGCTAAAAGAGTTTATATAATATATCATTGAAAAGAATTCTAGACAGTAATTCTTAGGTTATTGTGTTCAAGAAAGAGTAAACTGTCTAAAAGAATCATGTCTAATAAATTGTTAAAATATTAAAAACTGGGATACCTCATTCTAGCATGATAAGTATTACTTTTTTGGATTCCAAAGTACCTTAGATCTATTTTTGTGTGACGTTTGGCCAATAATATCAAATCATCTCTTTCAGGAAACTTACTCTGAAGTTTCAGGTTTAAATAAGCAGCCTCCTCTGTGGCCCCTTGTCCCACCCTGCCTGTACCTATTTTAACATGTAACATGTCATGTGCATATTTTATATTTATGATGTAAAAATGTTTTTTCTTTACCATTACGCCATAGGAAACCTATCCATGTTTTGATTTCCCTTCTATTTAGTACATTGACTAGCATGCATTAAGCATTTAGTAAATATTTATGAGCTCACATATGAGAATTAAATGCATATTATTAAGTAAACACACTAGTTCCCAGTTCTTGGAGTATGAAACATATTTGATAAAATTTTGTTGACTTAGTCTGTGTGAGTAGCTGACCTGATATGATGTGATGTGGGGTATATATGTGGGGGAGGGGGCAGCATGCAAAATCACTACTTTACATTCTCCACAGAAATAGGGAAAATGCCACTTATATTTAGCCATGCTAGACCAAGGGTTAAAGTGAGAATTCTGTGTGCTGGCACATACTTGTTTATATCACATAAGGGCACAGCACTAATATGCTTTGAAGTGATTATTGCTGTGGTAAAATACTGAAAAAATATATATATACAATCCAATGTGACATGGGAGAGTGAAGATCTAAATGAAAGCAGAGTGTGCATATTGTTTTTACATTGTACCTGCCAGTCAAGCTGAAATTTTATGAAGAACTGAGAAGCAATTTTCACTCATGTACATGATACCATGTAGGTCATATTCTTTTATGTAAATCTCTTTCACTTGGGTGTTTAAATTCTAATATAAATGTAGTTCTAAAAAGTATGGCTTTTACTTCTCTCTCTCTTTAATTCATCCTGAGTTTTGGAGAGCAGATGTTTTATTGAGTGTGACACCTGCAAGGGGCGTTGTTTGAGTAGGTGTTGGAACACGAGCGGCATCTGTTTTGGATCAGGGTGGTTTTGTAGGGAGCACTCCTTCCTCCATCCTGCTCTGTCCCACAAGCATGAAGTAGGGAGACCAGGGCTTGGAAGATGTGTATTAATTCACAAGTGAAATTAAACAGAAAAGATAAAGGGTCTAATTTCTCCCTTGGGAGAATCTAGACCTCCGTTAGCTTTAAGCGTGTTTTGTTTCACATCTCCATAGAACTAATTGACAAATTCCATATTTTTGTATCCATTTTCCCCAAATATCCAATGTTTTCTGTTATGAAAATCTCTCTTTGTCAGTTAATTATAACTTTGGACAGAGTTTTATGTATATTATTTTCCCTTTCTATAGACAGATGATCAATAGCATTCCTGGACTCTGCCGGGACACATCATTGTTGACTTTCAGCTTGGAAAAGAAACAGAACAAAGCAAAACAAAACCAAAAATCCCAAATGCACATATCACTTGTCCATAATTATTCCTACAGTAGCAGACAACAGCAGGTGAATTAAACATGGGACACTCCAGGTCATCTGTTAAATGTTTCCTTATTTACTATTTATGAAAGTTTCATTAAAGTGACATATCTTATTTTCATTATTTACAATTTGGCTAAGATAAATACATTATTACTAATTAAGCCTAGTGATTTTTCTTTTTAGTTCTGAAAAATCCATTTATGACAAAATATACACTTGAAAATATTGGGGAATTAAGGACCCAAGCAGGTGAAAGAGTTTGTATTACCTTAATCAATTATTCATTTAATAATTATATCATTCATAGTTGTAACAGGAAACAGAAATCTCAGACAAGATAATTGAAGAGAGTTTAATGAAGGGACTAATTACTAAGGTGAGGGCAGGGTTAAGTGATAAGAGCAAAAGGTGGTGAAAGAACTCAGTTCTAGCAACCTCATCTTGCATTTGAACTTTCTTATCAAACATAATATGTTTAAAATCGAAGTTGTATTCCCTCTCCAAGATGGGCTTCAGTTGCCACCTCTTCATCACAGTTGAAGGCAATTTCAGACTTCAGGTTTCTCAAGCCCCACGTCATTGAATCGTCTCTGATTCCGCCCTTTTTGCCTCACTCTATATCTAATCAATCAGGAAATTCCGTTGACTCTGCCTTCAAAATTGTCCCAGAATCGGAACCATTTTTACCATGTCTACTGTTCCGACAGCAAGGGCCAAGCTTGGATTACCTGGATAACAGCCTCTTAGGGGGTCTCCCGAATTGAGCCCTTGCTCCCTAACAGATTATTTCCGAAACTCGCTGTAATCACTTTAAAGTGTGAATCAGATCCTGTCACTTCTGTGCTCAAAACCCTGCAATTGTTCACACCTCACTCACTCACAACCCCAAGGGCTCTATGGAGCCTGGCCCTGTTTCTTCTTGGATTTCATCTGCTTCTTCTGTCCTCTCCTCTCAGTACTCTCCAGCCATTCTGACCTTTTCTTGAGCAAGTCATCTCCTTGTCTAAGGGACTTCGTAGCCCTATGACCTTGGCCCGGAATGTTCTCCCACCCCTTCCTTTTGAAATTCATAAGGCTGTCTCACATATCTGCATTAAGATTTTGTTCAAATGTCATTTAAATAGGTTATTCTATCGTCTCTGGCTTTTACTGGTTCTGTTACAAAATTTGCTGTCCATCTAGTTGACTTCTCTTGCAACTAAACCATATTTTTTCTTGCTTCTTGCATTTACACTTTTCTTTTTCAGTGTCCTCTAGTGTCAGTATAATGTGTCTGAGTGTTTCTCTCCTGACTGAGACTCAGTCTGGATTCATGTTTTTCATCAATTCAAAAACATAACTCTATGAATATTACCTCTCTCCTATTTTCTTCTATCAGAGTTCCATTAAAATTTTACTGTAACTTGTCATTCTACCCTCCATGTCTTATAATTGGCCCTTCAGAAATTCCCATTTTTGTCTCTTTACATTGCATGATGGATGAATTCTCTGGTGTTTACTAAATCTTTCTTTAATTGTGTCTAATCTATTGTTTAATTTCTCTATTGAGTATTTAATTTCAAAGACTGTATTTTTGACTATTATAAGATTCGTTGGATTTTTTTTTTCAAAACTGACTGGTCTTATTTCATACTGTCTTATTTAATAGTCTCTTCATGGAAGAAGTTCTATTAAAGTTCCACTACATCATGGTGGTTGTTTCTGTTGATTTGTTCAAGGTAAAGTGTTAACTTATGTATTTTCTAGTTTCATAAACTCAAACTTGAAAAAAATACATGATGATAGCAGTCTAGAGTTGATGAATAAATGAGTTTGGACACAGGACAGAAATAAACTCAGAACTTCCCCAAAGGGAAACACTCTTGGTCTAACTACAAAGATGTTTCACCAATAAAGCCCTGAAAGAGGTTAAGTCTCAGGGCAAGTTAAGACCAACCCGAGAAGAGACAAATTTCCTTCTGCTGCTGGTCATCTTCATCTATTTTTTTTTTCAGTCCACCAATTTCTGAAGCAGTAACCCTTGGTTGCTCTTAGCTTTTTTGTGGAACTTAGATTTAATTCACTCTGCTTGCCCCTGGCTTCATCCCTTTTGTCTGCTTCTATAATTACTACTATAGTTCTGGGTTACTGACACTAACAGTCCTTTTCCCAACTCTGTCAGGGTTTTGTCTCAGTTTCTGGCCCCTGTGGGTATTTGCAAACCCAATTGTACATTTAAAGAATATTTGCTATCTATTTCAGTAGTTGCAGGCTGTATGACCTTCCATATTAACATATTACAATGCGCTGGACCGTCTACACATTATGTGTTCTCTCATCATGGAAATGAATAAAAATTCATAGTCTGATTTATCTCCATATATCTTAAATTTTCTATTCATAAGGTTTTTAGCTTTGTTCTAAGATTAAATGGTGTTTAGTCAATCAAATCTAGTTTAAAAAGTTGCAGACCCTTATTTTCCTGTGTTCTATTGCTATGATATTGAGTTCAAATATACCTGAACCTCTGTTCTTCAATAAAATAGGTACAATTCTATGAGCTTCTGGTTTTATACTTTTAGTTTATATACCTAATTAACATATTTGCAAAACACTGTATTTCAAAAAACACTGTATGAATATGCCACATAAATAGCTAAAATTTTTCATTGAATTCTCATAGGAAAGTATTTTTTCCACATTTCCGTGTCAGCAAATCACACTGGTGCAAACTGAAATGACTTCAAACGTAAGAAGCAACCCAGTGTTTTCGTTCCTGTACAAGACAGTAGACAAGTCATGGGAGATGTCAATATAACATCAAACTTTAAACCAAACTAAAGGTCTATAAAGGGTCTTAGTAGCAAACCTTGTTATTCTCTCTGGCTCTGGGAAACTGATCTTGGCAACACTTGTGTAAGGCTTCTCGGCTGCCTGTAGAGTACCACTTAAGAACATCACCTTTTGACCTTGTCTGCAAATACTGGATCCCAACCAAGTCCAGGACCAGGTGTGACTACATACCTGCTACGGAGGCTCTCAATGTCCTCTCCGTGGGAAGCAGGTGTGTTATGATAGATTATCAAGTTGCCGTTCAAACTGTAGTTTGACACAGGCTACATCTAAGCATTTGAAGCAAAGACAAGCAAACCCCCAAACAACTGGACAGGTGGAGAAGCAGTGTGGCCTTCCCATGGGAGGACGTCCCTCAAATGACCCTCTTGTCGCAGCAGGTCCTTTGAATGGATTATTCCCCCCCCGCACTGGAGTGTCAGCACAACTCCTCTGTCCCTGAGCGGCAGGAGTAAGGATAGCCTCAGGCCCTGCAGGGGAGAGCTGTTCTGTGTAAAGCCAAATGGCCTGATCAAACCACCCACCAGTGCTTTGGATTTTTGAACATTTTGCTCTAACCAGCTAAGCTGACACCGTAATGGTGCCTTCGGTGATGCTCCATGGTTTGAACGTTGCCAAGGAATAGCGCTAGCGTGTATAGGAAAGGTGGCCTCCAGCAGGTAAAATGTGAGCTGAATCAGGTAGCAGACAAGGCAAAGCTGAGCCAGAAACACAAAGAGCGTTTATTCACAGACCAAGGCTATTCTTCTACGAAGGCCCTGTGGACCAGACCGCTGTTCTCAAGCTGATTCTCTCTGTTATCCCCTTACGCTCGGACAACAACACGGCCAGCAGCCGTGCTAGCCAACAGGAGCACTTCTGTGTATCTACCCCCTTGCCTTGTTTTTGTAACCCTAAACTTTAACCGCTTCCCGTTTCTTCCTCCCATTTCTTTCTCTTAAACAAATCACACGTGGAGGAAAATCACCAGGCAAAAGTCTGGGAGTGTAAACGGGCTAACATTCCATATTGGAGTTTCAATTTTTTTCTATGGCTTACTGTCTTCTGAACTTTTTTTTCTTTGCATGTCATTTGGTATCTAGGATATGAATCTAAATGTTCAGTAAGTTCACATTCCTTGATATTTTACATTTACAGATCTACAGTGACATGAGTATTCTCATCCACACACTTCAGAATGTTAATGTCTTTGTGTATTGTTCTTATTTTTGGTAGATGATGAAATGAGCCACTATTTTATAGCCACAGCATTCAGCTAATTCCAGGGAACCGAAGAAATGATTTCCGATGCCTTGGTTCTGCCTTCCAAAAAAGATTACAAGTTTGATTATAAGGTTACAAAAGATTACAAAAAAGATGTCAAGTTGTTATTTCAGGGCAGAAGTCATCCTCCTTATGTATCTTCTTGGCATAGCACTAGCTACTTGTGTCCTGTTATCTCTGCCTATACTCTCTCCCCTTCAGGTCCAGTCCCTCCTGCACTCCACTGAAAATGCATCCCTCCCAAATACCACTTTTATCATTCTCTCATCTTCTTTAAAACTTTTCATAGATTCTTGAAACCTACAGGATAAAGTGTGCCATTCATGATCATAATTGTCATGTCAGTCCTGTCACCCCATGGCTTCCCCCGAACACCAACAAGGCTGAGTGTGCATTGGCTGGTCCCTGAAACTTGGGGTGAGTGGCGGGAGAGGGCTGGAGTCAGGGATCGCTGCAGTAAGGTGTAAAAGTGTGCCTGGTGACTGTCCAGCCTGGCTTGTATTGGTGTCGCAGTGGAGGCTGGGGCAGTGGAGGCCAGGCTGGGAGTTTACACTTGTGATGAAAAACATCCTTGAAACTGTGGATACTCTGAAGGTAGGCTGCTTCGTTCCCAAAAGTTGGAAGTGGAATTTGAAAAGAAGGGAAAAACAGAACAAGAAACCGTGTTTGGATCATTCGAAAGAGTGTAGGGAAAACAATTATGAATCCTATTTTATGAATTTCATAGTAGCCCTGAAGCTCTGTTCATTTAGGAGATTCTACAATGTGTTTTAAGTGTGTGTGTGTGTATGTGTGTGTGTGTCTGTGTGTTCTTCTGAACAACAACAGCAAAATTAAATAATTACTTACTATCTAGGCTTTTGGGTGTTAGTCAAGTAATGCATTTTTCTCAATTTTAAAGATAGCATGGATGTGAAAAAAATGTTAACCAAAACATTTCATTGAAGAATTGAATATTTTAAACCTCAAATCAAATAAATTATTTGATTATTATATTTTAAATCATACATATATATTATTCCTTGAATTTTAATATAATGGAGCCAATATCACAGTAATATAATTTAACCAAATAAAATTGAAATTAAAATAAACTTAGTGGGAAGGATATAGCTCAGCGGTAGAGCACATGCTTAGCATGCATGAGGTCCTGGGTTCAATCCTGAGTACCTTCACTAAATAAATAAATAAATAAATAAACAAACAAACATGAACAAAATAGTGAAAAGATACTACGTTATAAGGCAGGAGATACATATAACCTGCAGAGACTAACAAACACTTTCTACCCTTAGAATTTAAAAATTCAATGTCCCATTTGCCTAAAAAGAAACATAGGTTTATTCTGATACAATTTGTTAACACATGAACAAATCACATACACCATTTTTGTTATTTGATTATTGCTTTCAACCTCTTGGATTTTGTTGGATATATCAAACTAGTACATTTTACATCCAGTTAATTGATTTGCATCTCTAGCTTCTGCTCGTTAATTGTCTATATCTTCTTGATTAATACTCCCAATCTATTAGTCTGTCATTTGGGAACTCAAGATCTGTGTATCATGAAGTGATGCTAATAAAAAGATGGTTTCAAATACAACTGGATGCTACAGAAATTAGAATGATAAGTTTATGTTTCATTTTCTTCATTTTCATGAGGAAGGGTACTTTACAATAAATATTTTTGTATTTGGTGCTTTGTTCAATGCAGACAAAAACAGATCACACAAGCTATTTTCTCCTGAGTGTGTGAATAATGAATTATCCCCTTATCCTCTAATTGCTATATCAGAAATGGAGCTCCTTGCCAAAGCTTAATAAAAAAATCTGTGAGTGAGTGAGCAGGGAGTAATATTTCGTGTGAGTTCATATTCAAACATGCAGTTACCAAGTGTGGAAGACTATGGCATAGGAACTAAGAAAAGAAGATATACTCCAGAGGCATTTTCCTTATCTGGCATGCTAGTGATTGTTTTTGGGTGGGTAATGACTATTTGATGCTGTTTGAAGGTGTTACCTTTTCTTAATACAACTCAAATCAGAACTCAGTTATGCAAAGGCATATATAACAAGCAAGCAGGTGAATGAGTATCTTCTCTATGTCCTTAAAAAGTCACACCTGCTGATGACATGACAAAATAATGGAGAGAAAGTTGGACCAGGAGTCAGAATTTGTAGATTCCTTAACTGATCTTCCACTAAGCACATAAGCATAGAATCCTCCAAGTTAGATTGTCACTTAGAAGTCATTTAGCTCAACTTTCATTCAATATGGGAATTCTGTATCTCTGAAAGAGCCTCTTTAACTTGACTTACATTTTAGAAACTTACTACCCTACAGGTCAGCTCATTTCATTGGGACAAGTAAAATCTACTCCCACTTTACCACTAATGATTCTTGGTTCTGCCCCTTTAGATTTACACAGAGAAAATTAAAACATTTTAGCAATAAATGACTCCTCATATAGTTACAAATAGCCATCACAGTATCTCTAATTCTTTTCAAAATGTTACGTTAGTAACATTAGGATTCCATGGAAGTCTCCAGATGTGGTCTTTCTTATGACTGTTATTTATTTTTCTTTTGATATTATCTTTAATTACTTCAGGACTCACTAATTAATTTTTCATTACTGGCTAATTTGGTAGATTCTTCTTCACTTGAATTTGATTGAATCTAGGTCTGCTACATTGTTGTTGAAAAGATGTGCACTAAGATTGGCATGTTTGCCAAGAAAAGTGACCCAAATTCTGTTACCCCAGGCAATGAGGCTTTTAGGAGAATTGGCTACAGTTTGAGATCTTTGGTTGTCCACTCAGTATATCAAGAAAAA